GACTGCCCTCCTGTTCTGCTGGGCCTGTTGACGCTTCACCTTCTGACCTTCTGTCTCAGGAGGAGGGGATGGGAAGGCTGGGGACCCTCTCTCGTGAGTACCCAGCTGCCCTTCTCAATTACATGGGTGCAGTTTCTACCCTAGTTGCCTGTGGTCTTGGGGTTAGGCTGAGGGGAGGGGACTCCCCCTGGGCCATTGGTTCTCAACCTCCCTGACGCTGCGACCCTTGAATACATTTCCTCACGTTGTGGTGACCCCAGCCTTAAAGTTATTTTCATTGCTACTTCATAACTGCAATCTTGCTTCTGTTATGAGTTGTACTGTAAATATCAGATATGCAGGATGTCTAACACGAGACCCCCAAAGGGGTCGTGACCCTCAGGTTGAGAACACTGATTTCGTCACGGAAGCTGTTAACCCTGCTGTGTACAGTCCTTCTGCGGTTGCTCTAAGATCACCCAGCCTCATTGGTTCCCCTGGGTGAACTTTGGTGGACGGGCACCTCGTTTGTCTTTGGGGCCTTAGGAGGAGGGGTAGAGCCATCGCGTGGGGCCTCTGCAAGAGCAACAAGTACTCTTAACTGTTGAGCCATCTCTCCAGGCCTGCACTGACTTCCTTTTTTTCTGTCTCTCTCTCTCTCTTTTTTTTTTTTTTGAGATGGGTTCTCACTGTGTAGTCCTGGCTGGTCTAGAACTCACTTTGTAGACCAGGCTGGTTTTGAACTCAAGGAGATCCCTCTGACTTTCAAATGCTGGGATTAAGGATATATAATATCATGTTGAGCTTGTATTGATATTTTTGAGGCAGAGTCTTTACCTCATAGCCCTGGCTGGCCTGGAACTCACATTAGTCCTTGTCTTAGCCTTAAGAATGCTGGGGTTGGTGTACGTCACATGGTTTTCCTCAACTCTTGCCTCCTCCGGAAGCCTCGTCTGGTCTAGAACTTTGTAACTGAGGAACTTCTGATCCTCCTGCCTCTCCCCACTGTGCTGAGATTACACCGTGCCTGACTGATACACTGCCGGGGCTGGAACCCAGGGTTTCACATGGATAGGCAAGCACTCTCTTCACTGAATCACAGTCCCAGACCTACTCCTCTGGATTGGGCCACAGCCTGGTATCTGCAGAGAGTGCAGGGCTGGGGGAGGGAGAAACAGTGAGGGGGTGGGGGTTGAGGGTCCGGCCCATGGGCTGGGCTCTCCAGACCCGTTCTGTGGGCAGCAGGGAGCTACTGGAGAGCTCCAAGCCTCAGGGCCATGGACTGAGCTAGCAGGAGTCCATCTGGTTTCTCTTTGAAGAGGGATTTTTTGGGGCTGGGATCCCAGATGGTTAGCGCACCCTACCACTCAACTGCACTCCAACCCCGCTGTCTGTAGCTTTTTTAAAAAAAAAACTGACTGAACTTTTCTTTAAACACTACCACCTCAGAACTCATGAAAAAGCTCACAGTGGAGCCCGTGACAGGAGCAGGCAACTGGCCTGAGCCCTGGGGTGCTCTTGTGAAAATAGACTTGGGTCCCAGAATTCCTAGCAGCAGTAGGCGTGGTAGGAGTCGGGCAGTGCATCTGTCTCCTTAGACACGGGATGCGGAGAACTCCTTACCTCCATGTTTTCCTGGTTGATGGAGCCGGGGAGGCACGTCCTCTGCCTGGCTCTGAGACAGTGACTGAGTTGTGGTGATATCTTCCTCAGTCTCCAGAGAAGGACTAGGTGCAGGGGAGTCTGGAGTGGTCACCAGAGCCAGTGTTCAACCCATGGTTTTTCATCCCCCTTGCTCAGGGAAGAAGAGAAAAGTGGGCTGGACCGGGAACTGAAGAGGAGCAGAAGCCCTGCACATTGTAGGTGTCTTAACCTGAGGGGGTGGAGGCCCCGCACATACTAGGCGTCTTAACCATTCATCCACAACTAAGGCAACTCTCATAAAAGAAAGCATGTAACTGGGGCTGGCTCACAGTTTCAGAGGTTTAGTCCGTTATCATCATGGAGGTGAGCATGGCAGCAGAGTTCTGGAGGAGTTGAGGGTTATGTCCTGATCCACAGACGGGGTGGGGGTGGGGTGGAGACCGACACTTCCTCCAAGAAGGCCACACCTCCCAATCCTTCTAATCCTATCTAAGAGTTCCACTCCCTGGTGACAGTCCAAATAGCTTATGAGCTATTGGGCTTTTATTTTATTTTATTTTTTTGTATTGTTTTTGCTAGTCAGGGTTTTTTCTCTTTGTAGCCCAGGCTGCCCTAGAACTAGCTCTGTAGACCAGTCTGGCATCAAACTCAGATCTACCTGCCTCCTGAGCATTGGGACTAAAGGCCCTATGGCCTCCCCTCTCCCCAGAGTTTCTCTGTGAAGTGAAGCTCTATCTGTCCTGGCACTCGCTCTGGAGACCAAGATGGTCTCGAACTCACAGAGATCCTCCTGCTTCTGCCTCCCAGTGCTGCCACCACCCGGCTATGGTGCCACTCTTATTCAAACCACCACAGTAGGACTTCAACAGATGCTTCTGGAACGAATGTCTATTTTCCCTGTGGAACCCCAGGGAAGAATGAGAACAAGAGGAACTTTCCTGTCCCAGGGGCTGGATCTGGGAGGTGTTGCGGTCTGAGAACCCAGAAGCCCTGGCTATTCCAGACACTGTTGTACTGGGTCTTAGCTTTGACTCCAGTTCCCAGAAACCTGCTGTGTGTCTGGGCTGTTCGGTGCTTTTCTGGCCTGTGAGCATCTCTTTCGGAAGAGTCCACTAGATAAGATTCAAACTATAGCTTACAACTTATTTGACACATGTGCCATATAGTTTTTGACAACTCGACACAGCCAGGGTCATCTGGGAATAGGACCCTCAGTTGAGAAAATGTCTCCATTAGACTGGCCTTTGGGACATTTTCTTGGTTAGTGATTGATGTGGGAAGGCCCAGACGTCTGTGGGTGGCGCCACCCTTGGGCAGGCTGGGCAAGCCAGTAAGCACCTCCCCTCCGTGTGGCCTCTGCTTCAGTTCCTGCTGCCAGGTTCCTGCCCTGAAGCCAAAGAAACACTTTCCTCCCCAAGTTGCTTCTTGATAATGGTGTTTTATCACAGCAAGGGAAAGCAAAAAAATGCGTTTGGGAATGTAACTGGGTTGCCTAGCATGCATGACGCCCTGGCTTCCATTCCCATCAAGGCTTATGGGGCCTGGTGATTCATACAGGAAGACCAGAGCTGGAGGCCAGCCTTTGCCACATGAGACCTTGGTTTTTGTTTAAAAAAACAAAAAACAAAAAACAAAAAAAAACCCCCAACCTAGTAGGTTAGGGCAAACATTCAAAGTATTGTTTGTGAAAACATTGTTTCAGATATTTTTACATCCAAGAGTAAAGGCATGAGGTCTAGGTAAAATTGACGTGACTGTGGGCACTAGTGAAACGGAACTCAGAAATCCTGGAGGAGGTGTCCTTTTCAATTTCTTGGGGTCTTTATATATACTTTTATTTATTTATTTATGTATATGGATATTTTGCTTGCATGTATGTCCTGGTGCCTGCCTGCTCAGACCAGAAGAAGGTGTCAGATCCCCTGGAACTGGAGTTGCAGACAGTTGTGAGCCACCATGAGAACCAAACCCTCATTCTCTGGAACAGGAGTTACAGAGGTTGTGAGCCACCATGGGAACCAAACCGTCATCCTCTGGAAGAGCAGCCAGTGCTCTGAACGGTGGAGCCGTCTCTCCAGGCCGTTTTTATTATTATTATTATTATTATTATTTTATTTTGAGTCAGAGTCTCATGTGGCCCAGGTGGGCCTAGACCTTACTGTGTGGCCGTGAACTCTGGGTCCTCCTGTCTCTACTTCCCCCTTAAGGCCTGGATGACCGCTATCATCAGCTCTAAGTGTCTAGGAGCTCTGGGATTCTCTGTCCAGGTCGGCAGCTGTCTCACGGCTGGCGGCTGTCTCCACCCCTCCCGGGTCTCTTCCTGCTTCTGTCTCGAGTCCCCTCCTTCTTTTCTCCCTGGGACAAACGCCCCCACTCCCGACCCTCAGGAAATACAGGGGTGAGGGCGGAGGGGGGGAGGGAGCAAACGTGACAGAAGGGGGGGTGGCAGGGAGCACTCTTATCTCTGGAGCTCGAACGACAGACTCGGAAGCAAACGCCCAGCCTCAGCGGCGCACAACAGAAAGTAGGCGACGGGGGATGAGTCTCGGGGCTCAGTTTTGTGAGCAAGAGTCTGGGGCGCTGCCCCAGCCGGCGGCTTCGGGAACTTGATTCTGTGGGCGCGGGGCGCACTATTAGCTAGAGCCGTTAGTGTTCTCCCTCCCACTATTATTTATTTTAAAGGGAAGACAGAAAGCGCCGAGAGAAATTGGAGCCAATTCCTCCTGGGGAGGGAGCGGCCGAACTGATTCGGAAGTTGGATCTTTGTGCACAGGAATGCAGAGAGACAGAGAGAGAGAGAGAGAGAGAGAGAGAGAGAGAGAGAGAGAGAGAACCTCAACAACAAAAAAAATAAAACCCACCCCATTGCTTCATTTCCCCTCCAAGTCCAATCACTTTCTGTTGTGCAATGAAAAGCCTTTCCATGGTGAGAGACATGAATCCCGATGTGCAACGCTAAGCGTGCGTCCGGGATCTAGACGGTTCTCAGCTGGGCGCGGCTGCCGCAGGGTGACCATGGCCAAGTCCCCGGTGTGCTCCGCCACGCGTGGGCCACAGGGCAGGCCATCTGGGGGTCGCCGAGGGTGAAGAGCCGCTAAGCGGAGCGCGCTGCGGGTGGACA